AATCCACTACAAAACAGAAATTTTAGAAGTACCATTGTTGCTCTTCCATCAACATTAGCTGGAATAGTCAATTGTTAATAGTCAACTGTCACAAATACGTTACTAATGGTTTGTTATCCTTGACTCTCTTGCTCAGGACAAAAAAGAAAATAGTAAAAGATCTCTGACAAGTTCCTCTAGTGCAGACTTAGTCAAAGATGTTTCTCTCTTTTTTTAGCCATGTTGTGGACTTTTCCAAATATAAGAAAAGCAACCATCAGGAGCCAGAAGAATCTCCAGATTCAGGGATGTTGTTATAACTGGGTCAGTTGAGCCTGTTTTCAGCTCATTCCACACTGCAAAGCTGTCATAAGACCAACAGTTTCTTTGGAGCAAATACATTCAAATACCACCAGGTTGCAAGCCTAGGGCTGCAAAAGGTAATCTAGTGTCAGTGAACACATCGTGTTGAAGAAGTGTCATAATAATTGTATAGACAGCAAAAGATTGCTTTTTACTACCATGCAGCAGCCAATATATAAGGCAAATGCAAACAAGCTATTGTCACCTACCAGGATTGAAACCCAAGAGTAGAAACTCCTAAGCTGTTCATTACAAGGTTAAGTGAACCCATTAGACTTACATTAGACTTAAGAGAAAAGAGAAAATAGTGCTACTGAACTGTCAGGGATATAAAATTTCCAAATGCAAGGAAAGATCACCACAAATTCAAAAGCTGAGCCTTATTGTATTATCTATCGTATTTTCAATTTGGAAAATTCATAAAGCCAACACGGGTATTGCTTTTATGAACTTGTTAAAAGAGATGACAGAAGAAATATCTTAGCATCATTTCCATATTTGTCTTTGCTTTTTATTTTTTTCCCTGCTAGGAGTACTGCTGAGACAAAATGGGATTCAGAAGGAACTTGTTTGTTTCTAGTGTATCTGGTGCTGATCAAAAAGAATCAAACAGAAAAGAAACCCATGGTAAAATTTTGAAACCTCATTTTTGTCAGAAGTTTATTTTGATTTTATTATGTTTGATGCTAGTGAGGGATAAGACAGACATGAAAGGTTTTGAGTATAGATTTTTAGAACTGAGTGATGAGCAAAACTGACAATTCATATTCTTATCAAATCCTTTTGAGTCTTACAAAATAGAAGTTTTCTTGAATTTTCTGACATTTTCACATCTCATCCTGCCCCAAACTTGGAGACTCTGACAAACATAAGAGTTGAAAAATATTAGTAAGAAAAAAATTTCAGCAACAGACTTGTTTAGGAAAAAAATATTCTTATTTAGTTGAGGTTGAAGTCTCTCTTTATTGTAAGGTTTTTGGTTTCACAAGGGTGTTTGACCTAAAATCTAACTATCATAAATAAAGAACTGAAGCAGAACATAAATCACAATGCTGAGACAGAGTTTTATATTGCTAGTTTCAGATTAAAATACAAACCCAAATCAAGAGAAAGTTATCTATGTTGTCTGGGAACTGGTTGCATTTTTGCATAGCCAGGTGATCCCAGGAAATCTTCAAGATGATTACTCTTAGATTTAAAAAAAAATTATAAAGCAAAGAAACAACTAAATAATCTTTGTGTGTTCTGCACATGGCTCTCGGAAGTCCTCTAAGCTCTTTTGACTTTCTTTGGCAAAATTAAAACTTTCCAGTTCAAGGATGCTTTCTTCTTCATCATGTCATCATTGGGTTATCATTACTACTATTATGACTACCACAATTATCTGAATATTTAATAAGTGTACATCTAATGAGCTCCATTAGGCAGTGGAAGCATGAAAGACCTCCACGTCATTAGGCAGGGTAAGTTATCAGAGTTAATCAACAACTGATGGCTGTGGTATCTTCCTATTCCTATTGCATCAGCTCCATGGATGCCACATGATTCAGGAAGACAGCTTCCAATTCAGAGAGCTCTGATGATATTATGGTTTCTGAGAACTGAGCAAGCATTCTCTCATGAAATTCTATGCTCCTTCCCAAAAGCACTCCCTCTCTTCTGGATACAATCTCAGAAAACAACTGAACAGTTTGTGAGTTGGAATCATGAGACAAATAGTGGAGGGAATTATATGCAGCAACCAACAGGATTGTTTCTTATACTGTGCAGTCTGGAAGGGGTCTATAATCTTAACCATATTCTCAATGCAAGAACAGATCTAAAGAGTGTTAACACCACTGATGTTAAGTGTGTGGCCTGCATTTTGAATGCATTACACCATTTAGAGAACTATTTGGAACACTACAGGAGAAATGTATGAGGAAAGCAGGCTTGAAGGGGTACTGGCTTTAGTTTTCATTTCTTCTGAATTAGACTGCATTCTAACATCTCAAGTGTACAGATTAGTCTATAAAGAGGGAAATAATTACAAAAGCGTTCCAGTCACCACTGCATATGGCCAGGCTGCTTGCTAGAAGCAAGGATAGGCGACAGTGCAGAGTGACAAGAACATTTTGTCCTGCATTAAGCCCTGCTTCCCTCAGAGGTGGTGTGTCAGACGCCTGGTACCCTGGTTCTTCGCGCGGGTGAGCCAATTAGCACATTCCCTAGTCTGGAACTGTGGTTGCTGTGGATGTGATCTGCATACTGATTCAGCTGAGATTTGACCTTCTGGGTGGAGAAAACAAGAATCCCAGGTGAGAGAGAACACTGGCCTAGATTTTCCTATCCTTCTCCCTTGTTCTTTATTTCCAGGCATACCAGGTATTTTTTTCTGACTAATTTAGAAACTAGAAGGCAGTTCTATTTCAATTGAAATTTTAGATCAATGTATTTGCTAAAAACTATTAAAAATCATGATTTTGACTTCCCTCTGCAAATGTCAGAAACGGAAAGCAGGTAGTTCCTGTAATAGTGACATCCTTGGCCCACATGAGGGCAGTACTAGGTAGTCAGAAGTCTCCAGGAGCTTCCAGGGTATGCGAAGAGTCTGGCTGGAGACGAAATGTGAGTGCATAAGGCAGAGTCAGGTTAGCTTTTCATAAGCACGAGATTCCTTAAAGCCAATCATTACACTGTTCTAAATGTTCCTGCTGAAGGAATTAGGAAGGAAAGATGTCTACCAAATTTTCCACCTGCTGGTGCAATCACTTGCCAAGAGATGTTGGAGAAAGTTCTTGATTATTCTATTTAATGCTACTTTCAACATGCAAAATATGAAACAGACAGACCATTTTTTAGAATTACATTATCAAATGCTATTCTACATTTGTTTGGAACAGTAAAGGTTTATCTTAGGTACAGATTTTCAGTTTCTTATTGTCTGATATGATGAGTTTTTTTTTTTTGATAAATTTTTGAATAAAGAATTCTAGGGAAGATGGAAATATAAGCGCACACCCATTGCCAGTGGAATTATACCAGTATATTCAGTGCATGGAGGTTATAAGTGGATTAATGACACTGAGCAAGTCTTCTTCAGACAGGTCTCTTTAAACAGTTACATAAATGAACATTGGTGTAATTATGCAGTCATGTGATCTGAAGAGTTTTCAACGTTGGGAGGAGAAATCTTTCCCACCAAGACTGTTAGGATAGATAATTTGGGTTATCGGTTAGGCATTCTTTAGAAATTAAAGCAAAGACCCACTTTTTAGATGGTGATGTCCCATTCCAACCTCCAGACCACGGACTTGGAATTAGCTGATGGGCTCCTGATAACCTTAGGTCACGTCAAAGCAGTGGCAAAAGACTATACTAGCCCGGGGAACAACATTACGATGCAAGCTGGCCAACTTTTTAAAGAGGACTCAATAGGCTCCCCTGGTGACAGTTTGCACTGACCTGAAGAGAGGAGCATTTGCCTCTGATATCATTAACATTGGCTCTTGAAGTCCTTCTCCCTCTCTGAACGTCCTTCCTTCTCTTCCTTTCCTAGCCTCTGATCTCTGGGATAAAATGAAACACTGAACTCTCTCCAACGTCTCCCTTAACTTTATCCCCTCTTCTGCTGATACACATTCATTCACACCCGTGGAAACTGTTTATCCCTGAGGGGGTCATTTGGTACTCAAGTGGTTACCCTTCTTGTGCCAGAACAATAAGATTATTGGAGAAAACTCAGTGTCTGCCTTTACATTCATTTTCAAAATCTCGTTAGTAGAAAGGTTATTTCTCCCATTAAATGGCTACTTAGAGTAAGGTATATTAAGAAGTACATCTTTTTGCTTGCTTTAAAATGGTAGCTTGGAATAGCATGATGGGAACTGTCTTACTGTTCCATGAATGCTTTAAACATGGGAAGGATCTATTTGCTTTGCCTCCATCTGGGATTTGGCAAGTAAAATTTCCCTGACTGATTTTTCCCTTCTAGTTTAGAAAATGACTAAAATGACTATGAATTTGAACCTTGCCATAAGGTTACCCTAGTGTCATCTGGCAAGTTGTGATAAGCCAGTGTTATGTAAAAATTGCTGCCTCTACCCCAACCCTTCTGGAAGTCAGTACACAAGCTCCATTAACACTTGAGCATTATTATACAATCGCTTTGTCTGTGTGGCTATACTATTTTAATGAGCATACAGGGAAGTGAATTGCATAGAAGATGTAGTGATAAACAACAGATTAATCTTTTTAATAACTTGGGACTTTGGCTGGCTGGATTTTAATTTTCCCCTCTTCTAAAATACTAAGTAGAATCTATAACATGGTAAAATGGTTTCCTATTGCTTTTGGGGTAGAGAAGATGGGATTAAGTTTAACCTATCTCTTTTCACTTGTCAGGTCCCTTAGGGCACCCACATTAAAGCACAGGCTCCTTTGTGTTTTCTGCTCTCGCAGCACCAGACTCCCACCTCCCACTTCTTCCCACCCCACTTACTTCTTCCTCTTCCTAGTTCTAAGTTGATCATTAGCAAGAGAGAGGAACGAATAAAAAGAGAAAGACAAAAAGTAATTAATTCACTGAAGTGCAGCTGCAAATGAATTTTTGATATAAATTATTAATTTTCTCTTTAATATTTCTGCATTGATACTGCTCTGTATCTGGGGATCGGGAGCGAGAGACTCTTCACTTCACAGTAACAGTGCCTTGGGTAGAGACAGCAGCGCCTCACAGTAACTAGAGGGCCTTGGGCTAACATGATATGACTCCCGTTCATCAGCACCATGCTTTTAGCCAGCAGCATTTCAAACACGCGTGGGTTTTAAAGTCTACGGTGGGGAGAGCAGGCACGAAGGATCGAAGAGGTGCAATAAAAGAGGTCGAATAGCCTTATCTTCTGTGTCTTCTGGTGTCAGCTTCCTAAAATACTGAGACCAAGACAAAAGCTTAACATGTATGATGATTCTTAAGGAAAAAGGTGGCAGTGCAAATTTTGCTCACATAGGAGGGAGAAAAAAAATGCTGGATTGTGAAGCAGAAGTTAGAGTAGGTAGGGCTGGGTGTCCAAGGCATAATAAAGAGCTACAACTCTTTGCGCTTGCTGACCAAGCCTGTGCAGAGGTCTGGGGATGGTTGTGGGGTGACAGGGGCACAGGGCTCCTGGACCACCTCCTCTGGGGTCCACATCTTCAGTCGGCTCCAAACCCAGATTACAGAGCGCACCTTTTATCACTCCCTTTGCTCAAATCAAATGTTATCAGGAAATCTGCTTTTCTTGACCTCGGCAGCATGTGGATGGAATGTAAACCAAAGCATGCTATGGAAAAACTAAAAATAGTAACAGAAAGCAATAGTACTGCTTCTGTGTTCAAAGATGTTGGCTCTAAATGGCAGAGGAACGATTGTTTCCACTTAAAGTGATTGATATGTCTACATACACTTGAGAGATAGAATTTCATTACCTATTCTTTCTGCGGGGACTGACTGAACACAGTTTCAAAGGAAATAGGGAGCATATTTGTATAACAGAGTACCACTTTCTTCCACAAAATGGAGGAAAAAAAAAAAAAAGGCCACCATATAAAGGGAAAAATTGTGGATATTAAATAAAGAAAATAAAGCTATTGAAAGAGTGAAGAAATTACTACCACAGAAGAACGTTCAATACATACAGTAATTAGGCTTTTAGCTTTCTGTTCAATGACAGTGAAATATTTCTATTGGTTCACTTGCAGAACTATTTATTTTTAAATTACCTGTAATGATTAAGCACAGAAAAAAATAAGGATTACAAAAGGCAACCTAACAAAATTCAATTTATTCCATAATAATACTTAAGAACTAATGCTTTCATTTTGTGTAAGGCATTTTGAAGACTTGGAAACTCAAGTTTCCCAATATCTTGCAGTCATTTTAGAAGAGAAAATTAAGAAATCCAAACTCTAATTTGGGGTCAAACATAAGGGAAAACAACTTAATGAGCTCCTAAAAATGCAATGTTCTTTTATAAAATGAGAAATCCTTCTGTAACCTAAAAAATCTGTTTTTTCTCAAATATTTTTCTCTAATGCTGTTTGGTTACCTCCTAACGTCATTATTTCCAGCAGTCACAGAAATCCTCAGCTGTGTAGGCGGTCCCAGTAAATTTAGCAGCCAAGCCACATTGTGACATGTTAAGAATAGGCGTCCATAAATCTTCTCCAGCTTCTCTTGAAAAGATTAAATCTTTCTTTTCAAGAATTTGCTAAATTTCTGGAAATGCTGTAATATAATAAATGACTTGTAGACAAGTCTGAAGAGAGAGTAGAAGATAATGGAATCCCTTTTCTCACAAACCAAAGCAGAAGCTGAGGAAACTTCTGGACCTTTCACTTTACCCAGTAGTAAAAGGGGGAGCAGCTGCTTGCAGTAGCTCTTGGACACGAGCAGAGCCCCGTCAACACCTCCAAAGAAGCCCCTCTATTGTTAAGAGGGGTTTCTGTTTTCAGGACCAATCTCTTTAGAACAGAAATGTTATAAACAAGGTTTCAAACAAAGTAAAATTTGCTCAGTCGTATCCGACTCTTTGCGATTCTTGCCTGCAATGCAGGAGACCTGGGTTCAATCCCTGGGTTGGGAAGATCCCCTGGAGAAGGGAAAGGCTACCCACTCCAGTATTCTGACCTGGAGAAATTGGAGAATACTTCAAATATATTTCTTAACCTTCCTCTAAATAGGAAGGGTTCACTGCATTGAGCTATACATGGAGAAGGCTTTATCTACTTAATATGTGTCTCTGTTAGTGTGGGCTGCCTTAACAAAATGCCATAGACTGGTGGCTTAATACCAACAGAATTTTATTTTTCCCAGTGCTAGAGGCTGGAAGTCTGATTATTAGAGTGCCAGTATGAATGGGCTCTGATGAAAGCCTTCTTCTGATGTGCGTACTTCTCACTGCATCCTCCCAGGGTGGAAAGAGGCTAGAGAGCTGTCCAGAGTCTCTTTTATAAGAGTGTTAATCCCACTGGTGAGGGTTCCAACCTTCATGATCAAATCACCTCCCAAAGGTCCCACTTCCTAATACCATCCCACTGGAGGTTAGCATTTTAACATATGAATTTTGAGAGGACAGAAATATCTAATCTATAACAATCTGAGTAGGAGAAGCCTAGACTGTCTAGCATAAGCAGATGATGAATTTACTCACAGAATACTGGACAGGTAAGAGAACTGAAGAGAGGGACTGAATGGGCTCTGGGAAAGGGGGATGCAAAGTTGCTTCAAAGTAGTCAAAAGAAGGACATTCTCACTGGGGTTTGCAACATGGATGACTGCATCAGCTGTTTTCAAAGCATGTATTTTGAAACTTTGATACTTCTAAATGCCAAGGAAATACAGTCTAACTTACCAGGAGTCATGGGTTCTCTCACTGGCTAAGGAGGGCACAGCCATCAGGGTCATGTGGAATGATGAAGGCAGAGTTCCCTGGAAGGAAAAAAAAAAAATACTGCTCTTACTGAAAGAAGAAAGTGGGGATTTTGAACAGCAAGAAATGGACATATAGGAAAAAAGAAATAATGCCATAAGAAAGCAAGTTTAACCACTCAGTCAGATAATTCTGGTTTAAAAAGCTAATCTTCAACTCTCATTAGCACTTGCTCCTTTCCCTATACTGTATTTTTCCTAAAATGAGTAAAGTTGCTCTTATAACTCATAGAAACTTATATCCCATTTGATGGAACAGTGGGGAAGAGTCTGAGAAAGAATAGGAATGCTCTAGCAGGTACACACTGGCTCAAGATACCATGTGAAACCACATCAACTAGACAGATCCATACATATTAGACACTTTAATCTAGACATAGCTCCAAACCCACTGAAAGACCCTAAAACAACATGGTTATTCTTCTCTCAAACCTCTGAGTATCTTCTGACTCTTACCTTAAGAGGTAGAGTCTTGCTATTTTATTTTAGATCATTCTGTTACCAGGATGTCTATTTAACTGCAATCTATTGGCACTACTCTTTGTTAAAAGTCCCCTGAAGTGTGGTTATGTTGTGACCCTCAGCATCTACAGTTTCAAGATTAGTTTCTCAGGACATCACTTTGGACAATAAATGTTTTTTCTCCTCTCCAGCAACCTCCAACCCCACATGCCAAGTCTGACTCATAAAAAAAGGACCTACAACCTGAAGAAATGGTTCTTGAGAAAATACATTTTCACCTAGGGAAAAATATATATCTCAGTTCCACTAGTCTCCGAGCTCCTTATTTATCTCTGTATCCTTGGAGCACCTAATGTGTGCTTAGCGTGATCATTAAACAAATAACTGAAGAATCAAGTTAGCATATGAATAAACATTTACATGTGGCTGGCTATCAACTAACTTTCATCCAGAAATGTTTAGAGAAGAAATCTTAGAGATTACCTCATATAACTCTATCACTTATTATAAGCTTAGACATAGAGGCCTAGGAAAGGAAAATGACTGTAGTAGGACAGAAAATTAGAGTGAGATGTTCTGATTTTAAGTTCAATACTTTTGCCACTATAACATCCAGGTAATTCATAATATGTTCTCAAAGTGTGGCATTTCCCAGGTATACATGGTTTGTTTTTTTTTTTTTTTTTTTAAATAGATACCTCTGTAGGCTAAAAACCAGGTTATATTTAAAAGAAGAGTGTTAGAATAATAATGAAGCAGCCTTTGAGACTGAGGTTTGGGACAGAGACTGCCTAATTTTAGTCTTAGCCCTATACATGGTCAGTATGAGATGCTCCATTTGTATAGAAGGGACGAGCACTTCCCTGCCTTCTCAATCTACCCATAATCTTCACTGTTCAGGCCCTTCTAGACTAGGGACACCTGACTCAGCGGGATATTTCCTTGGGATGCCATGATAACCAGAACCTCTATTTATTGACAGGCTTAAGTGATTTTTGAGGGAAGGGGGTTGCATTTCTGCAGGCTCTGTCTTATATTTTTGCCCCATTCAAAGAAGAGGGCTGCTGCCTATGCCTCAGTTGTGAGAAGGAATGCCTGGGGACAAGAGAACCACTCTAGCAATCACCTCTGATCTGCCATTGATCACCTTCACAGTAGGGTGGTATCTTAAGCTCTGTACCCACCCTCCTCCCTACAATTAAAGTGTCTCTTCTGGCCCCATCACATTTAATCTAATAAACACCCTTCAATTTAGGTTATATGCTAATGACTCACAATTATCTATTTCAGAACCAGACCTCATTTTTTAGTTCTAGACCCATTAATAATATATCCTAATAGACTTCTCATAGACATCCCAAGTTTGATCTACCTAAAATGAAATTCATGATCAAAACTACTTTTTATATTCTATTCCCAAGTCAGAAATCTGAGTTTCATCCTAAAATCCTCCTTTTACTTATCAATCACATCCAATTTATTGATAAGTCTTATTGACTCATTGGAAAAGACCTTGACGCTGGGAAAGATTGAAGGTAGGAGGAGAAGCGGATGACAGAGGATGAGACGGCTGGATGGCATCACTGACTCGGATGGACATGAGTTTGAGCAGTCTCCCGGAGTTGGTGATGGACAGGGAAGTCTGGTATGCTGCAGCCCATGGGGTCGCAAAGAGTTGGACACAACTGAGCAACTGAACTGAACTGATTGATTCCAATGGTTTGAGGAACTGATTTCAATGCCTGGTCTCTCTTGTCTAACTGTACAGTGGTTTTCTCAGAATGTGGATATTGGCATGATTAATACATAAAGCTATTCTGAAAAGAGATCTGGTGAAAAGTAACTCTAGCTCTGAAAAAATTCTCAGGCCAGTTAATCACCTACCCAAATGGGTTTCAACCTATCTTCCTTTCAACCTACCCAAAAGGGTTACCTAAATAATTTTTTTCACTTTGAACAAATTTTTATGAATAATATGGAAGAAAAAATGTTATCAAATATTCAAAGCAGAAAAAAAAAACTTTTCCTCCTCTGATCCTTCTGGGTTAATCATGTTGCACGGGTTTGATATCACTGAATCTACTCCAACACAAACAGGCAACACGAGAATCAACTGCCTGATCTAAGAGGAAGGGTTATTTTCAATCTTAAGCCAAACTCTGTGTCTTCACCAAACACCAGGAGGGCAGAAGTCAAATCTATTTAACTTTTTTGTTTACAGGAACCACAATGATATGGGTAAATTACATTAAAAACTCATTTTGATGATTATATATAGCTTCATTTAAAAGTACAAGAGCCACACACAAAAATCAAGTGATAAAACACCTAGGTTACTACTGGCATTATAATATCCACCATTTTTACATAGGCTCTAAACTAAGAAAAATGAAAAGTCAAATTACATTTGTCTATACTGCCCATGAAGGGCTCTGGTAATGCCTCTGTAAAGCAGAGACCTATGACCTAATCTGTCAATACAGAGAAAATGACATGGATATGAATCTCCACTCTTAATAGTCTAGGAGCTGCTTGGATATACTTTATTCTCATATTCACCTTTGAAAATTGGGGTCTGGTTAAAAAAAAAGACACAGTCCCCAAAGACTTTTCATCACACCTACAATTTAGAAAATATTTTCAAGGCAATTTTCAGTACAACCTTCTGATACAAGAAACAATTCCAGACCCATTCCCAGCCCATGAAGGGAAAGCATGTCACCACTATTTGAGCCTGAACTGGGAGGATCATTTTAAATCTAATCCATTCTTTGTCACTGAAATAGTTGTCTGAAGCTCTTTCTCCTCATCTGCTAAACGTGATCATCTTCACCCACTTAAGACTTCTTGATGAAGTGTGATGGCTTTTAAGGAAATTTAAATATAGCAAATATGTTTTTAAGAATACTGAGTATGATTTTGTGCTTTCTACCTAAAAATGTAAAATGATATTTAATCTTAGACTTGTGTTCCCTCCAAAAAGCATTCCTTTTCCAAAATAATGTTTGCTGGCTTGAACGGTAAGGTTATGGATGATTTTGGTCCCTCTACATTATAAACTCTGTAATACTGTGTCAACTTAAGAATTAAATGTTAAAAATGAAAAGGCTTCCCTGGTGGCTCAGATGGTAAAGAATCTGCCTGTAATGTAGGAGACCCAGATTCGATCCCCTGGGTTGGGAAGATCCACTGGAGAAAGGAATGGCTACCCATTCCAGTACTCTTGCCTGGAGAATTACATGGACCGAGGAGGCTACAGTCCATGGGGTTGCAAAGAGTCAGATATGACTGAGCAAAGTATGTATTCAATACATATATGTTGGACATATTTTCTAAATCATGCCCCATATAATAAAGTTGTAACAAATAATGAGTAAAAGGGAGGGAAGACCAGTAAAGAGATGGTAAGTATAGAATGGGGAAAGCATAAGAATTATATGGAGAGAGGGGCAGGCTGTCCTAGAGGAAAGAAAAAGCTAAACACTGCAAAGTTCAGATGAAGGATAGTTCTTTCATTTAGCATCTGCTACAATCCTACCTTGCACAGCACTGTGATTAAAAGAGTTAATTTAATTTCTCTCATGACAGGAAATATTTTCCTCCCAGGAAGAGTTAACCTCAGTTCTCATAAGGACATCATTCCAAAGAATACATCTCAAGGAAATGTTCTCAACAACGGACGTCCCTTCCTCAAATAAACACAGCTATTTAGTGTCTATAGTCTTTCAGTGTTTGCTCATCTTTTTCTAACCCTCTCACATAAAAGGCACTGCAGCAAGGGCCCAGAATCTGACTTTCAGCTCTATCTGTGTTCCCATCTACCTTTCTGTAAGTAAGCTTCAAAGAGAGGTCTAATTTAAGACGTACGGTGTGTTCAAACCTGTAGTTCCAGATAAGGATTCTCCCTCTTACATAATGCATTTTAAAATGAGAGCAAAAAGCCCATGTCAGTGTTGGATTTTCACTGCTTGGCTGCGAGTATTCTTGAGGGCTTAAAGTGAAGGAGATCCGGGTTTGTGAGCCACAGTAATTAGTGCTGGTGGCAGTAAGACTCACAGCACTGTTGATGAAATGAAACCATAATTTCTGTTAAACTCTTTAGGGTCTTTTTTCTGAAAGGGAGCCTTGCTATATTTCTTTTTAAAGCTTGGATCAAATAACTTAAGCAGATGCTATGACAATACTATTTGAAGGAAAGAAATCTATGGTATGACTCACTCACCCACCAAAAGAGACTCACTCTATACACCTACTTTTTCCTTGGCTTTACTTGCTGAGTCCTCTGAGTCAAAGCCTTTGAAAATCAGTTTGCATGTCAAATCCCCGTGAAAATCTACTTGCACACATCTTTCCTGTTCATCCTTGTCCATTTCACCTTTTTCACTGTAGCCTGAGTTATTAACAATTTAGTGATTCATTAAGAAGTTTCACATTTACCAGAAATCTCATTTTTCCCTTCAAGTTACCACTGCTTTAGTGCCCCATCACTTCATTTGCTGAACACTAAGAGAAAATTCCTTTATCCTCAGAATTTTACA